GGATGGATTTCAGGCTGTGAGATCATTGCTCTGCTGCAATCTTTCACCTGCTTATTCCACCAGGGAAAAACCCAGTCGGGAATATTTCCCTGCGACGGGAAGAGCACTGTCCTCACCTTTATCCAGGTGCTCATTCCAGCAGCCCAGTCTCTGCTGGTTATCAAGGTGACTTTGATTTCTAAACTGGCAAAACTCCCACCCTGCTGTGCTGGTTTGCTGCCAGTAACCCAAGCAGAGCAGCCCAGATAGGGGCTATCACGTTGGCCTTGATAAGCCAGACTCAACCCCTGCTCTGCCAGGTTTCCATTGGGAATGCCAAGCCCTGAGCAGTGGGACTGGGAGAGGAAAGGCTTGGAGAGGAACCACAGGAGCTGCCAGGTGGGAGCTGCTCTCTGCAGCCTCCCCTGAGATGGGTGAAGATTCATCTGGAAAGAGGCAGTTGCTGAGCTGTGGCCCTGACTCTGTGCTCTGATGTTTCTAACTCACATTCCCTGTCTGCAAAGGAAATAAGAATAATTGCACCGTTTTACATGCAACTGTCAGGCTATTTTAAGGTTGAGAATGGGGTTTCACACTGTAAAGAGTTTCTTTATTACAAATTCTGGGCTGCCCTGCTCTGTCAGAGCAGCTTGATGCATCAGTAGTAACTGCTGATCCCTGAACGCAGCTGCCACTTGAAGTATTTTGAGATCTTTCAGGAGCAGTGGTGGGCTATTAATAGAAATTATTGCTATTTTTTCCATATAGAAAGGCAGTTCTTTCATACTTTATCACTTTCTTCATGTAAACAGAGAACAAAGTGAGGAAGGCTTTCTCTCAAGATGAAAGTGTGTGTGTGTGTGTAGCTCTTCCCTTGGATCATTTCTATCACTGAACTGTGTGTAAAGTAGTTTTCCATCTCTGCCTGTCTCAGTTGCCAGGCATTAAAGGCTGCACTGAAGCCTAAATTCTGTGCTGCTGCTCATTACTGAGCACCTTCCTTCAATAACAGCATTCTCATAGTAAATCCCACTGATACACAGTTTATGCAAGTCTTTTCTACTATTAGTTCTCTTGCTATTTCTCTGTTCCTGGCTCTGCTGCTGTTTGGATCTGGCTTTGTTTTCCACTTGAGCTGTCTTTGTTTCTTGAATTTCCGTACTGAGGGTCGGAGTTTCTCTTACACAGGGATATTTGCACGTGTCAAGCTCCTCTGAGCGTGTCCTGCCTCCCATTCAGAAGTTTTTCAGCAGATGTGTTGAAAGGAATATCGTTCCAGACTCGCTTTCCATTAATAGGCATTTTGGACTGAAGTTTCTGAAGTTGTTTTTTACCTCAGAAGCCCAAAGACCCCCCCCTCTGGCTGTAACCAAAGTCAGGTGGGCTACAGTGGCACCACAGGGGATGGTTGGAACCTCTTAATTCCCACCGAACATCCACAAAGCAAAGAAACCTCTGGTGGCCCCCTGGAATTGCCCAAAAGGGAAAGGATTTGTTGCATTCCTCAACGGATGCACCTTCCCTTGTACCCTTTGGGATAACACAGGCCCTCTGCTCCATGAATTCCTTTTGTCTCTGCCCATCTGATGTGCTGAGCTGACACTGGAGCACATCATCTGCTACCTGTTGATCTTCCCTGCCCCTCTCTCTGCTCCCTGCACGTCTGTCATGCAGGAGCAGCTCCACAGATTGGCCCTCGCTGGCTGATGCTGTGCATTCAATCAGTCCAGGCTCAGCAATAAGAGTGTCACACACCGGTGGTTTGGAAGATTCCTTTCCATCCCAAGTGCTGTGATTGACAGGTTTTGCCCCGCCTCTGGTTCCTGAAGCCTGATTTTGATGATTTTCTACAGCCTCTCCAGACACATCTTGTCCCATCACAGCCTCACCTCCACAGCTCCCTCCCCCCAGCTGCTGTGGGATAACAGCCAGCACTCCAGAGGAGGCATCAGCAGCTCACCCTGCCACCCCTGCCACGGCTTTGAGAGGTCCCAAGACGTGGGCTGTGAAAAAGGCTGATTCCAGAGGCTCCCAGCTGCAGCAAGAGCTGCTTTATAAAGGCATTTGCTGCTCTTTTCCTGCAAGGTCTGATGAAGCCAATTTTGCCCGCTCGTGCCCAGAGATTGGGTGAAATGTTCCTGGGATTTATTACAGTTTAATGCCATGAAAGCTGAACAAATTTCAGGAACAAATTCTGAGGATCAAGTCTCAGGAGGCAGCTATTTGCCTAATGTCCTACTTTCCCCCACATCTCCTGCAGGAAGCAAACAGCTTTTAGTTACACAGGAACCTGATTATTCCCCGAAATACTGAAACTCAAAATTTCCCCTTTTAAGGCCATTTTCTGCTTTCAGGGGCAAGCACCCTTTGAAGGCACTGGGGAACACGAGCTGAAGATCTAAAGCCAGGAATACTCTGTTTTTCCTGGGATATGCAGTATTTCACCAGCAGAGCTTTTTCTAGACCAATCCTTCAGTTCCTTCTGTTCTCCTAATTATTTATTTAAGTATAATTGACTTGCGAGACATTCTTGGCTTTCAGTGTGCACTGAGTGAATTATTGACCCGTCACATGGGTCATTGATGTGAAGAGACATCTGAACAAACTGGGTGCAAAGCAGCTCCTTTGCATTCCTAATAGCAAATATGAGCCATTAATAACTTTGCTGCTTGCTGCTCTCAGAGCCTGCACAGTTTTAGTTTGACATGCATATGGCTGAGTTCATCCTCGGTGTAATTTGAAATTCATTGGCCATGGACTTCATCTCCTTCTGCTCCTTGAAAATCTCTCTCCTGTGCTGAGACGTGCTATGCTAATTCCAGAGTTTATGGCTGACTTGAGATGTTACATTTGAAAAATCAAATCCAATTAAATCAACTTATTACCAGGGTCAGAGACCAGTATTCAGCTCATTCTGTTCCTTGCTATTTCACAGCAAGGAGTAAACTGAGGGAGCATTCTGTGTCTCAACCCAGAACCAAACTAATCTGTCCTAATAAAATGCCTTTTGGCTGCAGGACCTAGAAAATACAGTCAAGTGATAAAGCATTTTCCCAGAGTCCAAATAGTTGAGCTCAGTTCCTGACTTTTCCGACTTTTTTCTGTCCTATGGGACAAATATTCTCCCCTCTGTGCCTGTTTCCCCACCTTCTCACAAGATGGAAGAGAAACGAGGGTATTGGAGGAAAAATTCAATGACTGCAAAGTTTTGAGATGTCTTGAATGTGATGCTGTGGCAGCAGAAGCAGCTTCCTGGGCTCAGAACTGTAATGGAGCACAAATCTTAGGAGAATTTGAATAAGAGATGCCCAATTTCTGTCCTAGAAGAAACTTGTTTATTATCCAGGAAGGGGAAAAAGCTTCTGCATGCATAATATCTTAATATTCTCAGCAAGGAGTGGAACAGAGGGGTTTGCAGGTGGACAAACATTAAGCTGATTTGCAGGTCCTTTTTGCAAAGGAAAGTTTTAAGTTTAGATTTACGATGAGTTCCCACACTGTGCAAGGCTTTGTATTTAAATTACACCATCACCAAGTGCCCAGTGGCTCTTTCTGCCTCTTACTGTTCAGCATCTAATGTATTTCCTGCAGGAGGTCCTTCTGCTCCAGACAAAACCAGACAGAAAATGTCAAATTCTTAGATATCCTTTAACACAGCTCCTACTGTCTCAATTCCAGGGGGAAATACAGTTTATCCTGCTCAGGCATCTTACATCTTTCCCATTCATTTAGGAGCTTAAATCTGGTTGGAATTTTCAGTGGTGTCAGTTCATTCAAGCAACCTGAGGGAACTTCACTGAGGTGCCCACTTTGGTGGCTCAGGTGCCTCAGAGCCACCCTGGGTTGTCAGAACTGGCACCTCGAGGTGAATTGCTCCAAACTTCCCTGGATCACCAGCTGCACAACGTACCAAGACTCCTATTTTGAGTTTCTGCCTCTGTTAATTGCCTAATTTGAACCCGAGACTAAATTACTTCCCAAAGTGCAGCTCTTGCCTCAGACACTAACGAGCTTTTAAAATCTTTGTATCAGTTGCTGTCGTTCAAGCAGAACTCGATTATGCAGCAAACCTGGGGGTGTCCTGGAGGGTTTCCAGAATCCCACTAAAATGGTGTAAACCCTGTGAAGGATTTACTGCAGGCACTGGAGTTACAGATTACATTTGAGGACTGAAGGAGCATCTCATCTCACTGGGCCAACACCAGGCTGTGTGAGCACAAGATCAGACACAACCTCCAAAATGAAATGGAAAAAGGAAGTGAGATGAGTTTCTCTCAGTGTCAGCAAACATTCCCACACAAGGTGTCCACCCAGGGCTAAGGGGCTGTTTGCTGTGGTGCACCTGCCACTGGTGTAACTGCTTGTTTTCCTCTTTGGGCTGGACATTCTCAGGGCTTCCAGCAATACCTTTGCTGTTTGTGACCTGTGTGGTGGTTCCCCTGAGCACATTTCTCCCTAGAGCACAGAGGGTTTATTAAAGCAGGAGCCAGCTGAAATACCTCTGCATTTCACACGGAATGCTCACATGTCCAAACCCTGCCTGGTGGAAGGAAGAAAGGAACAAACCCCTCTTACCTCTGTGAGGTCTCAGCACGGAGTGTGGGAACTCATCGGCCCCTCAGCCCCAGCGTGCTCCCAGCTCTGGAGAGAGGACTCGTGAACACCTTTTGGGGGGGGGAACAAAGCCCTCTGGATCTGAGCTCTAAAGCTCCTTTTCTGCTGTGGGCAGGCTGAGCTGCAGCCCTGCTCCAAGGGCAGGGGATGTAGGGCTAGGGCAGCTTTTTTGGGGGTAGTGCTGCCCACGGAACAGACAACAGGTCTGTGTCAGCCTAGAAGGTAAAACTGCATTCCTGTGGCAAACTCCCCTAATTCCTGCTGGTCCAGAGACCCTGGAGTTGAGGTGAGCTGCTGGTAACAGCTGGAACACAGGGGGCTCTGAACTCCTCTGCTGGAAAGTGCCTTCACCACAATCCCCCCTCCTCCAGGACCCATCCAGCTACCCCAGGGCCATCCCTGCTTACCAGCTCTAGGGGGGTGTCCACAGAACTTCTGCCAAGAAAGGTGGATTCCCAGAGCTGCACCCTCTTACATTTCTCCTGAAACAGCCAAGGACAAACAACAAATCTGGATGGGGCTGGAAACCAGCTCAGAAAAGGGAAATGAGGCATGAGAGCCTCTTTCCACCCCCCCACCCCCAGCAGCTCCCAGCCCCTTCACACCCAAATACAAATCCATGATTAAGGCTTAGAGCCCTTTGCCCTCACTGCTTCCCCTAAACAGGGCTGTGTTTCCAAGCCCTCCCCACACTTTCCCCAGCTCACCAAGCTTGGGTTTGTCTGGAACAAGAACTGAACAGTGACGGGCACAAAGAGCCACTGGGCACTTGGTGATGGTGAGATGTAAAGACCCAAAGAGTCCATGCCCTCTGCATCCACCCCCAGCATCCACCTCCTCACCCAAGTGTCTGAGCTGCCTTGTCCAGCCCCCCTGTGCTCAACCAGGCAAGGCTGGGTTGGGATCCAGCAGCCTCTGGAGTGAGCACACATTATCCAAAACAGGATTTAAGAAAATAATGGTGGTTATTATCTCAGCACCTATGGGAAAAGGCTGTGGTATAGGAAATAGAGGCAATCAGCACAGAATGGGGACTTGTTCCTTCCTGATCATTCCAACCATTACTTGGTTATTTTTGCAATTTGATTCTGTAATGGAGATTTTCCTCCTCTTGTGCGGCCAGGCTGCATCATGCAGAAAATTGGTTTGTTTAAGTAAGAACTCTTATGGTGTCTTTCATCCAATGCTCTCAGAGAACATTACTAATAATTCATTAAAGCAGCACTGTCAGCTGGAACACTTTTAATTACCATTTTCTGACAAGTCAACCCTTAAGTGGTATGCCCTGATTTTTAAATTTATTACTAACACGTATGCAGATTTTTCCCTTTCCCTGCTGATGTTTATATGGGTTGAGAAAAGTAATTGAGTGTGAGATTAAGGAAGCGAACCATGCACTACACGTTGTCGTGCCCAAAGTGGGAGATAATTTTGGGGTGGTTACTTAGTTTTAACAGGAGTTTTGAGAACCTCTTTACGTCTCTGTGCAGCTGAATATGGGGACTTGTTGGTGCTGGGGGACTGAAACACCTTAATTTCAGGTACAGCTGTGAAAATCAGTAGCTGCTCCTCATTAAGCCCAGTTACACATGCTTTGCTCTTAAGTTACTGTGAGGTGAAGACCTCGTGGCTGCTGCTAGTACAGGGTTAAAAACAACAGTTCCCACACAACTCTAATATGCTGGGAGCTTGTACCAGCTTATCCCACCCTCCTTGCTCACAAAGCTGTTATTTTAAGGCCCTTCCAGCTCCGTGTCACTGCCCCAAATCCACCCAGCGTTCCCAGAGAAGAGCAATGCCTGAATGTTCTGCCTTTGCTATCCTGGATGGCCACAGCAGATGCAGAGGTTCCCTGTGGCAAAGTTTTCCTCACAGCCCGTTCTGTGGGAGCAGAAACCGAGGCAGAGAACCAGCAAGAGGGGTTGCCCAAGCAAAGGTGAACCAGTGGCAAGGCAGACTGGAATCCAAACATCCCATCCCACAAGAAAAGGACTTTCTGATTCCCTGACAAGACAATCCCGAGCCAGGCAATATTGGGGATTTTTGCAGTTCCCAAGAAAGCATTGTGGCAGTGAGCCTCTTACCTTGTGTCAGCAGTGAAGGTCAGCACAGGAGGGAGGGGGGAGAAAATCTGCCCAGCTTTGTGGCCCTTTCAGACCACAGAACTTCCCCAGAACATGGGTCCAACAGCTCCTGTGCTGGAGGAGGAGAGCCCAGGGCCCTCTTGGGCTTTTATGCGTGGCCGTGGCAGCTCAGACTGGTTGCCAGCTCATCTATATGCAATGGCTCATTAACGTGTGCCTGGGATGTCAGAGACACAGGTATGGAGGGGAAAACTCAGTGCAAGTGTTGAGCTGCTGAAGGCAGAGAAAATATTACCTGGGGAAGCTGCTCTTACTCCTCCTGTCAGCACCATCTAAACCTCTTGGCCCATCTCGTGTCGTGGCCACTTGTGAGGATCAGCCTTCCCTTTGCTTTGGCAAGACCCAGACGCCTCTGGACACCCCCTATATTCTGCAGAACCCTTTGCATCTTGATTTAGTTGGTCTGTGCTCTGTGAACTGAGTGTGTCCTTGCCCAAATTCCTGCTTAGACTTTCCTTCCTAGATTTGAGCTGAAACTTGAATTCCATCTGGGACTCTTTGCAGAGGAGGGACTGCAGGAGCCACCTCATTGCTGTGAGGCTGCTGTTGCTCTCCCTGCATTGCTGTCATCTGGGAGCCTAAAGAAATGTGCATCTCTTGTAGTTCTCAACCCTTTGCATCCTAAGGGAGAAGTGACTTAAGCCTGGAATCTTCCCACTCACCTGTAGGCACATAAAAATGAGGTGGACCAAAGCCAGTTCTGGTTCCCCTTGTGCTCAGAAGGCATTTGTTCTCCCTCTAAGACAGATACTGCCCTGCAGAGGTGCCCATCCCTCTCCATCAGTAGAGAGAGGGCTTGGATGGCTGGGGAAGTTTGCATCCCTACTTTTTGGAGCCCCTACCATAAATAAATAAACGAGTTCTTCCCTCAACGATGCCCAGTCTGGAAGCTGCTCTTCCCTTGGGTTTAAGGCAATAAGCACCCACTGCTTCTGGCCACCTCCAGGGACAGGTGGAGACAGGAATCTCTGAGCCTTGAGGAAGCTGGGAACAGGATTTGTATGTTAAAAACTTTCTTTAAGGCTCGGGCAGAGCCAGATCTGCTCAGAGTTGAAACCAAGAGCAGCTTTGTGACTCAGTGACACCAGTGTTTGCCCCGGGGTGTTCTGAAGACAAAAGCCCTGATACAAGAATTAACTGTCATTATCCATCCCATTGTTTTAATGGCTCCATCATTAATAATAAATGGAGACACTCAGGCAGCACTTTTCGTCTCCAAAGCATGTTAATCCATCTGTTCCACCTCTCAGCATTCCTGGGAGGCAGGTGTGTTACACCAACACACAGAGGCTTTTATAGCACCAGGAACTGAGCATGGAATTGCTCCACATCCTTTGACCAGGAGCTAATTGATGAGGCAGACCCTGAAATAATCTGGTTATTTTTATACCACTCCCAGCACATGTAGGATTCCCACTTTTGTCACCTCTCGGCACAAATGAATTCCCTTGCGTCACACAGCATCCTGCAGATTGTTTAACATCACTTTTCAAAGCAGTAAGCTGCCTCCCTTGCAAGGGAACTCAATGGGATTTTTTTTTCCCCCCACTGGCTTCAAAGAGCATAACTGAGCCCTTAAAGGGATTTACTTCTGTTAAATATCATCCTCAAAACAGAGAAATTAAAAGCAAATGGGCTTTCTTCCCTTTTCCTCTAAGACATGTCAAAAGAATATTGTAAGAAAGAATAGCTTTCCCCAGCTTTCAGAGACTCCCCAAGTGAATTTCAATGGCAGGTTTTTAGGAAAGAGTGTAATTAACAACTTGATTCAGTCTGAAGCCAGAAAATTCGTTCTATATTTGGCATGAAAAAAAGCAGAGCAGGAGGAGGGGAGGAAATGACCTAGATTTGCACAAGTGACAAATGACTCCAAGGTGCTCTGAGCCCCCTGGAATGGCAGAGACTCCCACAAACTGCACTGCAAAGTGACTTCTCCTCGCTGTCTTTCATGTTGGACATCCCAAATCACCCAAGGCACTCTTGGAAATCTGAGCTATTGTGTTGGTTAAACTGATTATTCAATAAATTAATTCAATGCTATTAATTAAATTAATTTCAATAGTTAGATTAAACTGGTCATACACCTGGGGTAATGTTTCCAAAAACGCATCCATAACCAAGCAGTTGAATCCTATTTTCAGCAGTGACCTCAGGATTCTAATTCACAGCAATCTCCCCTTTTCCAAGCTTCCTTCGTTGTTTTCCTGGAAATGTATGCTTTGAGATCATCTCCCATCAGGAAGAAATGAGGAAAACATTTCCAGAATGTCCCTTTCTATATTTGCATCTTCTTGGTTTCCAGTGTTCTGTTTTCCACGACAAAGTCAACATTTTCTATAAAAAGCTCTATGAAGAGCCTGTTGTTTGCCTAAGAGCAGTTTTTCTGAAAAAATGTTGATAACCTCTCTTCTGTCAAAGAAAAAAAAAAAAAATTAATGCCTTTATCTCTTGGAATGGTTATTTATAGGAGAGGAGTCCTCCCGAAGATGGAACCAAAGATATATATTTTAAGAGCGGGGAAGTCGGTGCTGCGGGCGGTTGTTTATTCATTAACCTCGGTGTAGCTGTGCTGGCAGCCTCCCAGGAGTTATTTACTCTGTGCTCACCGCGGGGAGGGAGTTGGAATCCGCTGCAATTTCATTGCAGTCCCGGGAGAGGCGATTCCATCCTTCCGGTTCTGAGCAGCGCGCCGAGCTCGTTGGAGGGAGCGGAGCAGAAACGGGAGGCTGAGCATTCACTCTGGCAGCTGAGCACTCATTCTGATGGCTGAACGCTTGGGAGTCACTCCCCAAACCATCTTTGCTGTGAACAAGCCGAGAGAAATGTGAGAACTGGGGTTTTGCTCCCCTTGGTTTCGCCGCCAGCCTTCCCTAAATTATGAACAGCTCTGCACAGAGGCTTGGAGGGAGCGTAAATATCTGTGTCTGAAATGGAAGAACAGTCTTGCAGATGAAGTTGATTGTGTCCCTCGTGCCTTGCAGCACCTTCAAGCCTTGCTGCTAATGAAAGTAAAAGCTTTGTAATCACTTCGGTCTTCTGCAGTCTTTTAGACAGCAGGTTGTTGGAGGCCTTGTCCTCCTCTGCTACCTCTAATGACAAAATTTAAATGCATAGGCTGATTGAAATGCAAGAACAAGGCTGGTTGTGGTGCTGGCTTGGCAATGCCTGTGGAAATCCTGCAAGGCAGGGGCTGGTGGTGTTTAACCCCTCGGAGTCAGAGCCAGGGGTTGAGCAGCAAGAGAGGCCTCGTGTTCTCTGCCCTCCTCTGCACAGAGCAGGGGGGCTTGGGAGAGGGGAACCTTCCCAGGGACGTCACGGGGGGGAGATCCCACTGCAGAGTCACCAGAGAATCAGGGAATCACAGAACATGCTGACAGGATCATGGAACCCGACCCCTGGCCCTGCACAGACACCCCAACAATCCCACCGTGTCCAACCTGAGCCTGCCCTGACACAGCTCCAGCCGCTCCCTGGGTGCTAAGGAGAAAAGCTCATTCCCTGGATTTACTTGTAACTCAGCTGCTTGGCAGGGGACAGGAGTGCCAGGGGGGAGAGTGAATCCATCACCGTGGATCGGTCACAGAGCAGGATCAGGGAGCCAGTGGCACCTTGGGTAGAGGGCACAGACATGGAGGGTCTCAAACCAGGAGTCACTTCCCTTTTCTCATCACTTTTAAAACATTAAGCTAAGCATATGGAAGAAAAGGTAAGGTTTGTTTTGGTAAAAAACCATATTCCCACATTGGCAGCTGTGTCCTTGTCACCTTGTCTCTTCTCTGCATGCCTAAGCAAAGGAATCTGGGATGGAAAACATGAGTTAGTGTCCTGAACAGTGACATTGGTACCTGATTCAGAGGGATCTGAAGTCTTTCTACTTGAAGGTAGAAAAACAGAATTTTGAAACACTGTGTGGAGGAAGGTGTTTGTGGTCGTGGAACAACTGGTGCCCAGTTCAGACCTGGGGAAGTTTTGTTTCTAGATTTTCAGCTGGGTTTGCCTGGTAACTTCAGGCTTCTGTGGGACATTAGAGCTCTCACCCCTCTGATACACGATGGCATTAAAAGTGTTAGTTACTGTCTGCAGCTCGGTGTCCATGGTTATTAACTGGGTGGAAGAACAAGCACAGATGTCCCAGGTACTCACTGTGCTCTCCCAAGGTTTTTCTGAGCTAAAATTAATCAGTTGGTGTGACGCCTTAAAGTGGGATCACACCTCATTTCATCCTCTGCGTGTCTCCTCTCACACACTGCTTTCCAACCAAACACGCTTCTGGAAGCTCTGAAAAGGCATTTATGCAAGTCCAAGCTGTTCTCAAGGCACTAAGATGTTTCTGAAATGTTGGTCTCAAGGTGTTGTGCCCACACCATCCCAGGCTGTGGGATCCAGGCTTGCTGGGAGCACAGGGCTGCCTTGCCACCGGCTTTCTTTGGAGCATGTGACAACACTCTGAGCACTTGAGCCTGAGATCTTGATAAGGAGAGGGTGGCCCAGCAGCTCCAGCAGGCATGGGGACAGTCTCTTGTCTGCCAGGAGAATGTACCAACAGCAGTGCCCAGATTAGGGTATATTTGGCTTTACTTTCAGTTGTCTTTCTGGGGCTGTGGTAAATATTCCCCCGCAAAATTCAGCTGAGAACAGAATATGAAGTTTAGCTCTGGAGAACCAGATGGGAACTTTTGGTAAACCTGTTGTCTGTGCCTCAGTGATCCCACCCTTCGTGCTTTGAGGAAAGGACGAGTTCTGTGTAGCTGTAACACTGAGTTATCTTTTGCACAACAGTGGCCATCCTTTGTACTGCTGTTCTTTAAGTCCCTTGACAATCCAACGAGTTGATCTTGCTGCTCCTCAAAGGCTCTCAGATATTCTGTGCCCCTTCTGTTTTCCTCTGCAGCAGGACCTTCTGACGGTGGTCATGTCCCCCTTGGGATCTATCTCTAAGGTCACTTTTTTGGTCAATGGCCAATTGACCATTTTAGCCCTCTCTTTCCTCCATCTTCAGGAATTCATTCCATCTGTTGCCTGTTTACCTGACAGCCCTTGGCTGCACTTCACAGACTGTTAGACTGAGGCTTTGTTTGTTTGATTATTAC